AGTAGTTTTTGTGTTTGACTATAACATAAAGAATTAAATTTCTTTTTTAATCACTTAATTATAAAAATGTTTTAATATTTATACGAAATTAATGTTATAAATCTTAATACAAGTTTAAGATTACATTCAAATTAAATTTAGTGGCTCATAATAAAGCCAATTATATTTTCCAAAACATAAAATGCCAGTAATTTAGATGAAAACAATGCATTATCATGGTAATTATTATAATACAGTAATGAGTGCATCACATACTTGGCAACAGCGATCTGATCCTCGACTTCGACGGTACCTAAGCTGTGGTACAACTCATGCATGAGTCGATCGCCCTGATTGCCACTCCCGCGGCCATCGATGAACGCATAGATAATGTCTTTAGTCGACGCCAGATATGATCCCCAATTGATTTGGAAACGCTCGGTCACCATCTGTGAGCCAGGTCCTCCGTATACCTAATCAATAATGACAATATAAAATGCATTAGAGATGACATTTATTTAACCCAATTTTCAAAAAGCGTTTTCTAGTCAAAATGGAAATGAATTTTAGTTTAAAATAGTTTTTTATTTGTGCAAACATTAGCTCAAAATATTGAGAAACTGTTTTGCATCACAACGAGAGTAAATAAAAAAGTTTTTTAGATATTTTAATGGTTTCTATAATTTTATTTGCAGAAAGACATCCAAAGAATGCAAAATTGTCTCAATTTATGTTTATTTTAGTTCGGGTTGTGTTTGCAAACGACTCTATAATTCAATCATTCAATAGTCTCTTAACAATACAATCAATTTGAGAGTTTAAACATTTTAAAATTATATTCATGTAATGATTTATTTTTCTATGATAATAGTATTATTTTTGTTTAATATTAGATATTTATATATTTTACTATCATATTTACATTTAGATATTTTTTATATTGATTTTTTAGTTTTTAAAATAATAATTATAATACAAATATTCATTTTATGATTGTATGTAAAATATTCAGAATTGATATTTTGTGAGCCAGGTATATTTGATTTGCCACTCTATACGGTAGTTAATATTTGATGTAATTCTGCAAACCTAACAAATTATTTCTCCAATTGATATGAGACTCAATGTCTGAACTTTTATCTCAAGTAATATCAATGATATTATATCATACATGTATAGCGTATAAGCCTTAGGCAGTGGTCACCGTACAGTCTAAAGCTTGTTCACAAAGTTATATTAACTACCATTTTATCGCTAAAGTTGTTAACATTTATTAGACAGTAATTTAAGTGAACGTTAATTTATAATTCTCTCTCAAACTCTATTATATTCTATATATTGAATTGAATTTCTATAAATAAAATTCTTTACGTTTTCTATAACTTCATTCAATTCTTTAATACACTCAACACTAGTACTCAGGAAATTCTGTATAAGGTTTTTAAATGGCTTAGTAGGACATGACTACTGACCATAACTCCAGCCCCATATTCCTATGGCGTCTTTATTAACGTAGTTATAGTTATCGCGAAAATATCTGCAATCATAGAAAAAGTGATCCTAAAATAAGTCCATAATATCTAGTACTGTATTAAATTAGTTTTCACTAATTATATGACAATCCTTTAATCTGTGAGTTAATTATCATAATGCCTTTACTAGTAATGAGATTTAAGTATAAAATTAGATTTATTGTGTAATATTTACAGAGCTTTATGCAAATGATAGCATTGTATAAGTTATTTCCCAACAGCTGGTCTGTAAAGAGTTTTAAAAATATCGGAATTCCTTGTCCTATACTATATTGTAATATTTTATCCTCAAAACAAGTAACTACTGTATCCCAAAACAATTTTTGACAATTCCTATACAAAACTTAAGCTTTAGCGTAGACTCAGTAGAGTTTACATCTGCTTATATTCATTCAGTTTAATGTCTACACAATTCAATTGAATGGGAATAGCGTTTGGAAAACAGAATATAAAGAATTTTTAAATTAAATAATACACAGAAATCAATAGATGAACGTTTGGCCGAAAATATGTTATTCAGAAAATCTAATCATAAAGTTTTAGTAAAACTAACAAAAAGTTTCTATTATTGACGTGTATTTTCTCATAAAACTATATTTCAGACAAAGAATTAATAAATTATTAAATAAGAGAAAACTTTACAGAATTAGTTAAGTGCGACAAAACGGATATTCTTTTCCCTCCTTTTTATCTATTGTGTGACAAAACTTTTGCGACAAAAGGATTGCCGGAAAATCAATACTTATAGACCAAAAAGACGCCAAACTTTTGGAGACATTAAGTGAAAATGTGGTGAAGTTTTGTAACATTTTGAAACTTGAGACTAGTTTATAGAGTTTTGTATACTCTATATAAGGTCAGAGCTTAAAAATATATTTATTTATCTAATAATTTGCAGTCATTTTTGAAATTATTGATATTTTTAAAATGCATTAATTGAATGATTGGTATTGAGAGTTAAAAGCATTTTTTCGGTGAGATATAAATCATTTGAACTAAAATAGACAGAATAAGGGTTTGGTTTGAGCGGCAATTCGTGTTAATAAGTTGTAAAGCAATTCACAGAATGTGTTTGCATTTCATCTCATTTGTCTCGAAATGAATTAATTATATAAAACGCTTGTCTTTCAGTTCATTTGTCTTTTTTCATTTTGTTGGCAATGAAGTGGAAATGAAAAGAGAATTGAATTTTTAGTTAACGAACTTAATGCCATAAAACACTCCAGACTTACATCATTACTGTAAATGTTTGCAAACTTAAGAATATTCTCTAAACTTATTACAAAGTTTCAATCTCGTCGAAAACTCAAATTACATTTAATTAAAAGAGATTTTCAAGTTTCAAAAATTTTTGACTAATACTACCCGTATTATTTAGCTACTTATTTAGATAATAGGCATTAAATTAAATTATTTAAAAATAATTATCTATTCCTTGGAATTTTATCTTAAAACATATGGAAAACATAATAACCAGTAGTTTTTGTGTTTGACTATAACATAAAGAATTAAATTTCTTTTTTAATCACTTAATTATAAAAATGTTTTAATATTTATACGAAATTAATGTTATAAATCTTAATACAAGTTTAAGATTACATTGAAATTAAATTTAGTGGCTCATAATAAAGCCAATTATATTTTCCAAAACACAAAATGCCAGTAATTTAGATGAAAACAATGCATTATCATGGTAATTATAATAATACAGTAATGAGTGCATCACATACTTGGCAACAGCGATCTGATCCTCGACTTCGACGGTACCTAAGCTGTGGTACAACTCATGCATGAGTCGGTCGCCCTGATTGCCACTCCCGCGGCCATCGATGAACGCATAGATAATGTCTTTAGTCGACGCCAGATATGATCCCCAATTGATTTGGAAGCGCTCGGTGACCATCTGTGAGCCAGGTCCTCCGTATACCTAATCAATAATGACAATATCAAATGCATTAGAGATGACATTTATTTAACCCAATTTTCAAAAAGCGTTTTCTATTCAAAATGGAAATGAATTTTAGTTTAAAATAGTGTTTTATTTGTGCAAACATTAGCTCAAAATATTGAGAAACTGTTTTGCATCACAACGAGAGTGAATAAAAAAGTTTTTTAGATATTTTAATGGTTTCTATAATTTTATTTGCAGACATCCAAAGAATGCAAAATTGTCTCAATTTATGTTTATTTTAGTTCGGGTTGTGTTTGCAAACGACTCTATAATTCAATCATTCAATAGTCTCTTAACAATACAATGAATTTGAGAGTTTAAACATTTTAAAATTATATTCATGTAATGATTTATTTTTGTATGATAATAGTATTATTTGTGTTGAATTTTAGATATTTATATATTTTACTATCATATTTACATTTAGATATTTTTATATTGATTTTTTTAGTTTTTAAAATAATAATTATAATACAAATATTCATTTTATGATTGTAAGTTATGTAAAATATTCAGAATTGATATTTTGTGAGCCAGGTATATTTGATTTGCCACTCTATACGGTAGTTAGTATTTGATGTAATTCTGCAAAACCTAACAAATTATTTCTCCAATTGATATGAGACTCAATGTCTGAACTTTTATCTCAAGTAATATCAATGATATTATATCATACATGTATAGCGTATAAGCCTTAGGCAGTGGTCACCGATGAGACTACAGTATAGCGGCTATACTATAGCCTAATGCTTGTTCACAAAGTTATATTAACTACCATTTTATCGCTAAAGTTGTTAACATTTATTAGACAGTAATTTAAGTTAACGTTAATTTATAATTCTCTCTCAAACTCCATTATATTCTATATATTGAATTGAATTTCTATAAATAAAATTCTTTACGTTTTCTATAACTTCATTCAATTCTTTAATACACTCAACACTAGTACTCAGGAAATTCTGTATAAGGTTTTTAAATGGCTTGAACTGTGAACATAAAAAAGGTTTTATGAACTAAAAAGTCTTTATATTTAACAGAAAAATACATCTAATCCGTGAGATTAGTTCATAACTCGTTAAGAAGTTTAAGTAAGTAAAGAATTTTGTCAGAAAATGCATTTTATTTGATACGTTATGAGCACTCAAATGTTATACAACTCGCAGTCTGTTTAGTGTTTCTCACAGTTTATGATCATATCGTTGTGTAATGAATGCATTTTATATGAGTTGTGCGGTTCTCTGCACTATATATGCGATGAATAATTGAAATAAAACTTATTTTTCGCCTAAAAATTCGTAGAAAAACTAATTCCACACTAAATTCACAGCTAAACAACTGACGTGTAGTTGCAAACAGGGGTGGGGTTTCATATATCAGCACTAATTCATAAGTTTGATAATTTATAAAGAATTAATTTTTCAAAAGTATTTTTACACATCAGTTCGTATGACAATATTTGTGGAAAAGTTTCTTAAAGCTGTTATATTATAGATATTTGTCGATTAAATGATCTCGGAATTAAATTCATAGATAATTTTAGATGAAAAATGAAATTTTCTTCGATTTTTTGGGTCAATTGTAAAACTTTGTTCACAGACTTTAGTTGGCATTCAAGGCATACGCTATTTATTATGTTTCATAATAACGATCGATATTTCGAGAGTATCAGAAAATGCATTTTATTTGATACGTTATGAGCACTCAAATGTTATACAACTCGCAGTCTGTTTAGTGTTTCTCACAGTTTATGATCATATCGTTGTGTAATGAATGCATTTTATATGAGTTGTGCGCTTCTCTGCACTATATATGCGATGAATAATTGAAATAAAACTTATTTTTCGCCTAAAAATTCGTAGAAAAACTAATTCCACACTAAATTCACAGCTAAACTGACGTGTAGTTGCAAACAGGGGTGGGGTTTCATATATCAGCACTAATTCATAAGTTTTATAATTTATAAAGAATTAGTTTTTCGAAAGTATTTTTACACATCAGTTCGTATGACAATATTTGTGGAAAAGTTTCTTAAAGCTGTTATATTATAGGTATTTGTCGATTAAATGATCTCAGAATTAAATTCATAGATAATTTGAGATGAAAAATGAAATTTTCTTCGATTTTTTGGGTCAATTGTAAAACTTTGTTCACAGACTTTAGTTGGCATTCAAGGCATACGCTATTTATTATGTTTCATAATAACGATCGATATTTCGAGAGTAAATGTTTTGTGTTTTTACTCCGAAACAAAAATATAAACCGAAAAAGCATTTCAAAAATTAAATATTTTGTTTCTCTCGCAAAATGAAAGTACAATTGAATTCGCTATGAATATTAGACATCATATCAACTGAGAAACTCTACTCAAATAAATTGCATTTTCTAATTAATTTCCAAATCAAATATTACACTCAATAGCGGTGTATATAAACAAAAAACACAAATCGTTTGTTTGCGTTTAATTAGTGTTCAATCGGTGCAATGTTTTTAATGCGAATGGATATGTAGTACACTATCACATAAATACCGGTATTTAAGAGCACCGCAAATAAGCACTTGTTTACAATACTATTGCATACTATTCTTATGGCGCATACAGAATATATTCCGTATATTCAGTATATACTGTAGTTGAACACAAAATAGTGTATGTATTGAATACCTGAATCAATAGCGGGTACTTCACTATTTCGTCTTTGCGGAAACCGGGCGGCATATATAGCATCACTGATAGGTCTGTCCACAACATATCGAGCGCACAGTTAGCCATCAAATCAAACAACAAAAAAGACAAACAAATCTCTTACTGTTTCCGTTGATGGGAACAACCATTTTCTCGATTTTTGGCAACAATTTATTGGACAACATATCACTCAAGCGGTCGTTATTATGAAGAGTGAGGACCAGTCCGTTGTCGTCCGTACGTCTCAGCTCTATCTTTGGATTTAAGGGTCCGTTACACTCGAGTACGTAATACTTTGCATTGTGGCTGAAATACGCCGAGTTATGCAGACATTTGTCGCCCAAATCGCAGGTCAGACACTCGGGTGTAGTCTTTGTGTTAGTGCTAGTGATCAACACTTTATAGATATGCCGTTCGCCGGGCTTTGAAGGACGGGTGGACGCGTAGTACAGGTACTGAATGCCGGTGTCTTTGTCGCGACTGAGAGCTGACACCTGTAGCGTATCGTATAGGCCTTCCGTTATGAACCGAATTTCTCCAAACTTTTTATATTGAAGACAAGTTTCGATTGAGTGGCTGTTGTCTCAAACAATACACAAGAAATGTCTTTGAGTCGAGAAATACCTTTTGCGAGACTCGAGAGATGTGTCGATATATGCCTTTCGTTTGATTGTTAGGCAA